AAAGAACTACTCTTCTGCAACATTATAGCCGATAGCACTGCTGAGGGAAGCAAGAAACAAGCCTCAGCTAGCTGTTTGGTTCTCCTGTCTCTGAAGCGCATCAAACACCGTTTTTGTTCATAAACCTGAAATTAACCTATTTAAACAAGATTTCACTACTCCTCTCATCATTTGCCTAATCAAGAGTCTTTTGCAAATAATAATGAGCAAAAGAAACCCTTCAAGTATTGGTTGAATCTAGAACAGACTTTTTGACTGTCTAGTAGCATTACTCCGCCAAACAAAGGGGATTTGCCCTCCAAAATTGCACTTTCTGGCTGAGATAATATTTCGCATATTTCTCTGAGGCACTTCACATGTTTAACGTCTACTTATTAATTTATGCTTGCATTTTCCTAGGAGCTACTCAAGTAAATAGCCTTCCCATACAGATGAAGTAACTAAGTTTCAAAGAACTGAAGATCCAAATTTTCAAAAGCATAAAAAGCTTCGTGTACGTTATCCTTTCAATGTCTGGTTAAAGCAAAACCCAAGCACCAGCCTCTACACATAAAATCCATATTGGCTGCAGACGCCAAGTGCTCCTGGAAGTTAGTTTCCAACTTTTCTCATAAGTGAATAAACTTATAAGAATCAATGCCTTGGAATTGCTTTTCCAAGGGAATATTGAAAGTGCAGGCCCAGCAAATGTTTAAGCATGGCAAAGGCAGAAAGGAGGTTATTCTAGCATGTTTTAGGTCTCTTGTGATGTTCCAGACCACTTCAGACTTATTCCTAAATAATGACCTAATTAGAATGACCTGTCATCACAGCCCTGTTCTGATCTTTCCTTTCATTCTATCAGCCTATAAAATAGCACAAGGAGTTCTTTGTTTATAAAGCAGTATTTCAAAGGCAATTATATGTGAAAGTGTCACAGTACTGCAGTTGTATACCTTCCGTGTACTTTTAGGCACAGGAGATTTCTCTGAAAACATCATCTTTCCTTCTGCACAGTGAACGTATTTCAAGCTTTTCTTCATGCTACAAGTTCCTTTATGTATTTGTAAATAAGGTGATTTGTGACCAATCTGCCAGGCTCCTTGCTGTCATCCTAACCAGGAACATCTTCAGCCAAGCATTTCCACTATTCTGCCCTTTCCATCAGTGTGCTCTCTCATGCTGGCTAGAGAAGCTGACCGCGCAACAGCTTGAAGCCCTTTCTGAACTCACAACATCAAGAGACATCAAAGACGTTCAGCCCCCTTCATCATCAGACCCAAATTATTATCTTGAGCAAGCCTAGAGGAGACTGCTAAACCATATCTAAATCGTGACCTATTACTCAATTCCATTCAGGAGCTTCCACATATTTTACAAGAAGAATTTGTTTAAGGTATGCTCTTATCTATGTGAATTTGTAAAGCCTTAAGAGATGACACATTAGATATTTTTAAAAGCTCCCTGGTTTTATATGAACACTGAGTTAAGATATGGTAATCTGTGAATTTATTCAGATTTGTAGCTCAGCATAAAGCTGTCTGGTTTTTGGACAGCCCTTTTGATTTACCATCCTGTGGTGAAATCACTGCAGAAATTTGGAGAAGGTCCAGTTCTATTTGTTTAAAGTCCTGATCATGTGGCTTTGGCATTCCTAACATATCCAGCAATCATTTGCTTTTAATTATCATTCAGTTCAACCACATAAGTAATGAATGTGGCTACCACATCCAACTTTCAGGCTATGTAAACTCTTGAGCTGGGTGGAACTTTCTTCTATATAGAGGCTTAACTATCAATTTAACTCAGAATGTGAATCCTCTTAACTTATTTTAGGCAGGTCTTTGTAAGTGTAAAATAAAAATAAATAAAAAGGAAATGAAACAAGCCTTAAATGAAAGATTCCACACAATACACCTGATTCACTTCAGAAGCAATTTCCTGGCCTCCCCAACCTCGTGGTCTGACTGCAGAAACCTTAAAAAAACAAGTTGATTTAACGTTTCTATTTATTCATGGTGTTCAGTTTCCAGAGGAGTCTGCGACTTGTAGTTTTAAACTCAATTTAGCATTTAAACTCATTTTCAGCTGGGTCCCACTGGAGCAACAATTAGAAAAGGAAAGGAGTTCAAAGAAGAAGGGTTATAACCTTTCAGTGGTATGTTTGCCTGGGCTTAAAAAAAATGCATCTCTGTTACTATTCTTCCTACGTTCAGCAAACACTAAATCACACAACCGCGTTAAGAATCTGTTGGTACAGAGAACTTCATGGTTAGGTACAAATAAAAACCCAGAAGTCCTTCATGGCTGCTAATGCAAAGGTTCATTTTTGGGGGTACCGTTATCTGAATTATGATGAAAGCCTAAAATCAGCAGGCCTAACTTCTCCTGAGAAAAAAGAAGTCTCACATCAAATCTGAACAAGATGAATGAACCAAAAAATACAAACAGAATCTTCTCTGTTGCACATTTAAGAGTTAAGGCTACTCATCTTTTGCAGTTGAAGGCTTCAGCTGAGACTCCTGTCCCAATAATCCAGACACTGTATATGTACTTGCATAAACTTTGGAAGTCAAACAGGCTGGGCAAACAAAAGGTTGGCAGAGAAACTGAGTTGAAATAACTTACTAGAAGTCATAACTGGCCAAACTGGGAGTACGGCAGTAGCCTGCAACTCAGGACCTCTGGCCTCGTCTGTTGAACTACAGTGGTTTCATCACAGAGGACTAAAATTTGTATGTGTTTTGGCATTCTCAGAGTTAACTTGTGCCTCCTACAGTAATACCACTCTCTGTAGCTAGTAGTACTCTTATGAATGGCATTCCAATGTCATAAATTCAGCCTCAAGATTCAGCCTTTGCCAAGATCTGGCTACCAAAATCTTATTTGGAAGCACTGTACTGCATGAATACCAATGGATAACTTGTTGGCTTGTTTGTTTTTTCTCTCCTCCAGTTCTTGTAAAGATATACGTTTCCTCAGGATCCACATTGTAAGCTTTCATCGATTTCAGTGTACGCATATCCAAAGATAGGATCTGCCCATCAAACCATGTGGGACTGTGGGCTAAATGCATGCTTCATGAGTCAGGATCCCTTCACAGTGGCACAACTCACAGGCTGAGGTTACTGTTATCTTTCCATTCGCATGTGATCCACTCATATCAAAATGGATCATCTCATGCCTGAGAGAACGGGCTCTGTGAACGTATATGAGAGTTTCAGTATTCTCAGATATCTGTAAAGTCTTTCAGTTTATTTATTTAACCTGGCTCAAGAAAGAGATTTCTTATGCAAGATACAGTCCTTTTAATTTGAACACTGTATTTTAGAGGCAAACTGTCCAATGATGTTAGAGCAGCACAAGAGACAAGTAGGGAAACAGTGACCAGTATGTCCCAAAACTAAGCAGATCTGAACAAAAGTTTTATTTTCATAAAGCCAGCTGACAGTAAACCTATCCATTCTGACTTCAATGAAATTGGAAATGTAAGCATTTTTACTATGTCATTAAAAAAATCAGCTGGTTGTGCTAAATCAAGACTTTTGCCTCCATTTCATTTGGTCAGGAAAAGACGTACCATATCTGCTAGAGTAGATGTAACGTATACTGCATGTCAGATAATTTGTCCCTAAACATATCTTTCAAGGAAGAGGTTTAGAGAAGAATCCTCAGTCCCAAATTTGCAAAGAGAAACTAGATATGTTTGTCTGAATTAATTAATTAAAGAAAAGAAGAAAGTAATACTACTGTAACCAACATTTTGATGAAGAACATGCTGTCGTTCCTCTGTGGCTGCTAAAACTCTCCATTTCGAGAAGACATCCCTAGTCACTTGAAGAGACCCAAAAGAATGACAGAAATGACAGCAGGGTTTGTACAGGGACATAGCTGACTGTGGATTAAAATCACCCCTAGGCCAGACTATTAAAAAGATTGAAGGGAGATCATGTAAGGTCCTGAACTACTGGAATTTGACGTTCACAGGAGGCAGACACAGCACGGGGCAGACAGAACGGTTTTGAATAAAAGGCAATGCCAGGACATTCTCATCAAAACTGCCACTTTCCCTGTTGTGTCTCCTGCTATTGCTGATAAGCTGCAGCTGATTTTTGAATCATTCACAATGAGATAATTAAAAACGGTGATAACCCATTAGCTGAAAGTGATCCTACAGCAGTATCTAGCTGGAGCATATTGATAACACCTGCAGTCTGCAACGTGGTTCCAATTGCTACATTCCTTTGAAATGTCACCAGAAAAGATGTATAGACAGACCTCCTGCTATGGGCCATCAATGTCTACTCTTCCTGTTTGACTTTTATTTAACTCACTATGGGTTGATCAGTTCCCAATGAAGCTGAGGGCACTTTGAGGCCCCTTTGAAAACTGAATTATCAAATGGAATTAAAGTCCCATTCAAAATTCACCTGGTTTTGATTTAATTAATGTGCATGTCTGCTCCTGGATCCATGACCTGCACAGTCCATCAATTTTTTTTTTTTTACCCTTCATGCCGCCTCTTTCAAGTCTCTATCGTCCAATTTCCTCCTTCCCTCTTCAGGTTATGGATCACGCAACTTCTGTATGTTGAAACAATTTGATATCCTTTCTCCCTGAGACTCATGCAGCTGTTTCTCTTGCCCTTTGTCAGTCCTGTATCATACTTGCTCTTTTCTCTGCTGCTAACCCACAATCTTAGTCCCATCCAATAGCAACTCTCACCTCTACATTCAAGTGTTTGATTGCATCTTGGGTCTCAGGGTGGCCCTTTCTGACCTGAGTTCATTAGACTACTGATCACACATTTGATGCAATCTCAAAAAGCACAGAATAATTACTATTGCCATGAAACATGCTCAATGATTTTTTTTAACTGACTGCATCATCTGTAAGGCATCCATCTTCTATTTTAGAACAACTAAATTTTAGATGATGCCGATATACTGATTTAGAAGTGCTAAATAACGTGCTTTCTATCACTAGTATCTTAAAATGTGTGCATATATACACATACATACCTTGGCATTTTGAAGAGGAGGCTGGTAACTAGAAGGCCGATAGTACCTCCTCTGAGTAGCATCAGTATGAATGTCTCCGAGAAATAGCTCCTCCACAAGGTGATCTAAATTGTGATGCAGATACTGTTTCTCCACACGGATCAGCTGGAGTTCATGCATGGCAAAATTCAGAGCTTTGGTGCATTCACAACCATTCTCTTCTCTCAGCAAATCATAGCTCACATCCTGCTCCCAAGGACTATCTTCTGGTATAAATCCAGGACATGTATGGTTCACCACCTGGCTTAATTTTTTGGCTATTGCTTCATTGTGGCATATGATCTGTATGCTGCGTAGCTGATAATCAGCTTCAGTACCCCCTCGAATGATCCAGGATGCTTGGCGGAGACGAATTTTGCCACGTATAACTAATGTATAGATAGGATTTGTGCAGCGATTGCCACCATAATAAAACTGATGGGCCTTAAATGTATTATTGTGGTAGAATCTGTAAGATCTTGTGATGAACTCTGGGCCTGCTCTAACTTCGCAGCTGTGGAAAGACAAAGTGATGGAAACAAAGTTTTAGCAATGTGGCGTATCATGAACACTACAGGTAACAAGACCAAGCAACAGTGCATAGATCCACAGAGATACCTGGGTCCCTGTGGCATGAACGCGAGTAAATAGGAACTAGGCATCTGTCAATTTGCCAACAATTCCCTCTGCTGTTACGCAATTCTTAACATACTGCTTCATGGTGATCATATCTGCCTGAGGGCCTTATCTTTGTAGGCTTTAAATATTTTGAGTTGTACTCTCAAAGTTGTTTTTCCTTTTTGTCTAAGGACCACCACATGACTCAATTCTTCTTTGAAAAAAGTAGCAGCTTATTAAACTTATACATTCTTTTCTTTTGCATGATGGATTTAGCTAAAGGACTGATCAGAAAGTGAAATGCCAAATGTTCACAATAGTATAAGTAACTGGCTTCTACAGCTGCCGTACAAGCTTTTCAGGTGGTATACTGCCAACTCTGGTCTGCAGAGGTTCGATGAGGGTTTCATCCTCAGCTTTTCCACTTAAACTGTCAACAGGGATGACAGTTAATGCAGACTTCCTAACTGGCTTCAATTTGGACTTTCCAACATTCCTTTCTGTTAATCAAGAGGTGTCCCCCCCTCCACCCCCCGGCCAAAGGCACAAATTAAAACTAAATTCCACTTTCCATAGAAAGTCAAACTTGCTTTTGTATCTTCAAACTTCTCCCTCTTTGTCGTCCACATCACTTAACATAAATACACTCAACTTTCTGTTAAACAACCCCAGACTTCCCTAAGAGTCACTTCAAATAAATGGGTGAATATTGCCTGCTGAGAGACGGAAAACAAAACTGGTCTCTCTGAACTGAAAGTTGCCATGCATAGAGAGGAACAGAACTGGTCAAAAAACACTTTTTAATTTCTTTTGCTAATAAAACTCGTGTTAGACATGATCTGAAAACAAGGATCCATTCAAATGGATCTAATGCACATAGTCAAAGATAGTACAAAGTAATGACGGAAGAAGCATCCATTTTGGCAACCTGATGGTCTCTTTCCTATTCAAAGAGAGATTTAAACATATTTCACAGCATGCTCTTTCAAATCCAGACTACAAACTGACTCATCAAGAAAGGTTTACAACATGCAATTATAATGTATATAAAGCAGCTCTTTTTATAAGTAAACATACTGTACATAAAGCATCTGGGATCTGAAGATCCACCAAATTTAAAAAAAATATTTCCCATGCTGCTTAGAGTTGGAATATTCATTGCTCCCTCTCTGCTTCCTTCCCCTTCTCACTTCCACATACATCATCTTTTCCAGCATTTTGTTTTAGCTTTCCTTACCCAGTAGAGACCCAGTGTCCCTCAATATTGGGAGGCATTTGCACAGTGATCCGGGCTCCATTGTGAAGATGTTTCAGCATATGGTGACACTGTGACTCCTTGAAAGCCCTCCATGCACTCTTCTCCAAGGACCGAGGGTGGGACCTGCTGTCCGGGTGAAGAAGAGCAGAACCTTCTCCCAGCCCTGAGAAAGAAAAGTGTAAATTATCAAGAGACCCTCATGAGAATGACTTCAACATGATAAAGGAGGCTGTGAGCATCTTGTGTGGAATGATACTTGTTCACAATATCCTTGTCCAGGAAAGCACTGTTTATGCTCGTTGTCTTATCTGGAAAAAAATCAGCATAATGGGAGGCTCTTTCTCTCTGTCAGCCCATTAACAATCCACTGAGTAGATTTGCTTTATGTAACATACTGGGAAAAGGACTTGAACCAAAGTGCTGTATATAAACCCCTTGGAAATGGGGCTCTGGATGTGAATTTTACAGACACCTCTTTAATCTCTGGTCAGGACAATCAAAAACCTGGACCTTGCAGCTTTTAGCAAGTTGTGTCCAGATCCGGACACAAACTTTGCGGTTTCAGCCCACCTCTAATTTGAACGCTTCTATAATAAACTTTCAAATAAAGGCTACTCTTTAAAGCCAAGGGAAAACAGATATTAAAAGAACAGCCTCTGCATACAGGAAGCCTCTGTGATGATTGAGGTGGTCAATTAAAGGCAGATTCTGCTATTTTTATTTTAAAGGGGAAAAGGAATTTCAAAAGCTAATTTTATCTCCAACACACAGTAATTTTGGTTTCTAGTAATGTATATATACAAAACCCACCGGCAAACTTTCTACACATTATTAATTGAACAAAATGAATATGTAGCTTCAGAAAGAATGCATTTTTACTCTTTTAGGCAGTGTACACTGTTAGATACGTCAGAAAAGCATGGATCAAAAGAAAAACACGCATCTAGAGGTTAAGAGGTGAAAAATATGAACCTTATATAAGAAGTTGGAAACTGTATTACTTTGCCAAAAGGAATTTAAGAACCACTGGACTAGAAAAAGAATATGAGTGGGGTGGAGGGGCTAGTTATGTGCCCTAGATAACTAGGAGAACTTGCACACACTTCCAGGAACAGAGTTTAGGATTCACGCCTGCCTCTTCTGTGCCCTCTTGGCTGACTCAGTTCAGAAACCGAGCTGTTTTGGATCAGCAGTGCGTGGTACAAACTCTCCTCACGCACCATACACAACACTGAGGCACCTAACCCAGAATTCTATATTATTTTCCCCAGGCCAGACATCTAAAATTTAGGCATTAAGTGCAGTCTCTAAATTTGAGCATTGTAATTCAAGGTAGTCCTATGGCTGTGGCCCAGTTCAACAATGTGCAGTACCGCTACATAACTCAAAAAAAAAAAAAAAGTCATTCATTTTCAGATAGCCACTGTTTCAAAGTTCTGCTACTTCCTTCTGCAAAAAGAAAACAGTGTCAATGAGTCATTATGTTGACTAGGTCTTAGATCCTCAGGAAGAAAGTGGGTAACACCTGGGGAAAATGGCACTGCTAAAAATATAAATACATATCAACAAATAGAAAGGGATTCATAATTTTTAAATAGTAATTCCTAAACTAAACAAAGGCAAGGACTTATCCAGGAAACAGAATGACCAGCAAGAACACTATAAATATTTGAATGTAAACAGTATCTATCAGTGAATGATCTTAAAGAGTTTACTCCTATTAATGAAAGCAACCTCACAAAGTCTTCAGTGGAAAATTTGGTGGCTTTGCTACAGGTTACAAATAATTCTTCCGTCACATAGAGGACTTGGGGCCTTACGTTCTAAAGAGTAATAAATAGAGGTGCTTTGATATTTGAGCATGCCATCTAAGATGCCCTTAAAGGAGCCTGATTTTCAGAGGGTCAGTATTTCTCCCTTTCTTAAAGTCAGTCTTCTTAGACTTTTCTACATTGCTTAGCACAATCCTTTATGTCAGCACCAACCAGCTCTGTTCTGAAGGCAGAAACAGTATAGCCATGCCAGGGCGATGCTCTGCTTGAGCTAACTCCGTCTTCTGAGAGACAGGATTTATTACGCAGGTCTAGTGCTTTGTGTACCTGGTTGTTCAGCTTCCTGGCCATAAGCCAGTATCTCTGCACAGCTCTGGGCTGTGCTAGTCTGCAGCCCAGCTCACCTGCAACATTCCTTGACACTCCTGAAAACTTGGGCTTATCAGGTTTATCTGAAACCTTACGGGTATGGGGCTGATGTCATAGACCTTTACACTGCCAGAAGAACAAGTTCAGCCAGGTACAGGTGAACTTACCGGTGTATTTATTTTTGTCACTATGAAATATAGCTAGTCACTTAGACTTTGTCTTCTAAATCCCTTCTCTGTCTCGAAATCTCCACACATTTGAAAAGGCCTTATTACTTCAGCACATCATTCCGAAATGGAGTGAATTCTCCCACCCGTGGGCTCAGAACCTCTCTGTGCTGGAGTGAGACCTCCTGCAAGATACCTGGTTGAGCCTATAGCATCAGTACTAACTCAGGAACCGAGTGGTCAAGATTTCTCCTGCAAACAAATTATCTCACACTGAAAAAGTCTTTAATAATTTGCATTTCTGCCTGGAGTTGTTAAGTGTTTGAAATCTGCCATCAAGATGAGGTTTTGAAAAGGTTCAAGTGATTATTTCCAAGACATTTATTATACCATTTGCTTTTACACAGTTGGATTTTTCCTAGCTCATGCCATATGAGTCATGAATACAGATGATTTAAAAAATGAATGATTTATTCATTTAAGCATACAAGGGCGTTTAATTTCTCCAAGCAAGAATCCTTTTGCAGGAAGATACTACCCTGTTTGTGCACGTATCAAAGGAGAATGTGCAGTAGCTACACTGAACACTTCCAACTATTTCTCAGAGGAACTAAAGAACGGGGCTTTGAAAAGGAGTCAAACTTCATGTGACTTTACAGAATGTCTTTGACACTGCTTAAGAACAAGTTGGGTGGCAGCTCTCCCTGACAATTGTACGTAGTTCTGCCTGCAGCTTACAAACAAACTGGAACCAAGGGACGGAAGGGAGATTTGCATCTTTAGCCACAGAGATCCATACCTCAGGAGAGAATATTTCTATGGGTTTGTGTCTATTAAACTGTGACAAATGAGGGCAGGAACATGTTTAGGTTATCGAGACAGTCATGAGAACATATTGAAGGCTCAGAGACAGAAGACGACATGTAGCAAACATACACGTGCTGGGCAACATCACATATCTTGGACATGTATATGAATTACGGAATAGGATTAAAAGGCAGTGACAGGACCCTTACCTTGCCTGCGACATTTTTACAATGTGTGTGTTGTTGGGGCAAGGAAATATTTAATTTAGTACAGCCTCCTTCCTTACAAAATAATTATTTCAATGCCTGTGTATTTACACACCAATGCCTATATATATGACTATTGCACACAGGTACTGTAACTTCTCCTTGTACCAGCTAAAGATCAAATTGACAGACTGGTAACATACTTTCCACATGATGCATTAGATTGAACACTGTATTCTTGTGTTTTTCCACAGAACAGGTAATCTGAAACAGTACAGTGTCCCCCTGTTGCACCTTTGGCAACGTGTAATGAAGTTTTCTGCAAAACTGGGGTCTTACACAGCCTATGGCACTGATTTTAAAAGACCCATTTGGTGATGTTAAATGGGACATTGTTGGGAGGCTCAATGTTAAAATGTGCTTTCTCGAAACTGGGAAGAGAATTTCAAGATAACTTACAAGCCCACTTTGCAGCCTAGACACAGTTGCCACATACTTGGAGCCCCTTCTTCCATTGAAAGAGATCCAACTGTGCTATTCTCTACAGAATAGACAAATGGTAGGTTTCAGTATATCCACGACAAGCCATGCAAGTGTTTCAGACTCAAGTTCCAGTTTGCTTTTAAATGTTTGTGTTATGAAGGAATCTTACACATTTAAAAAAAAAAAAAAAAAAACTGATAGCCATAAGGCTGTGAAGCCTCCGGTTGGCTTTCACTTCAGCTACACCATGACTACAGGTCACAAGATTGTATCATCCACCCCATGGTAACTGTTTACTGAAAGGAGTAAGTCTGAAAGGAAAATGAGAATTCCAGTATTCATCAGAAATGCCAGCTAGTAAAACAAAACAAAAGCATTTTTTGATGAGTTGCTATCCATCTTCTTTTTTCATAATCAACCCCTAAAAATGCAGACCGCAATACAGCCTTCTCATCAAACTTTGAATAGAAAATAGTATAGAAGTTCCATGTAGTTCCATGTTCCAGCTAGGAATCCCCTCCCAGGCCATCACAAATCATACTTTACAGGGGCAGATGCAACATCCATCTGAATGGGAAAGTGGGAGCCCGCACAGCTCAAAATCCAGTAAGACAAAGATACAAGCACACACTGCACCAGGTGCTGATCACAGAAGAAACTTCAGGCTCTTAGGTTCATCTGCAAACCTGTATCTGATGTGGGAACAACCATTCTGGTTAAAAATAATTGTGAGGGAAGATAGGTTACTTTCAAGTTCTTCCAAGAGTTCTGGAAACAGCTGCAAGTAAAATATGAATCTTAAAAGTGCAATCTGTTGGCAGTCAGCTACCATCATGTGTTTCAAAAGCTACTATGAGAATATTTCTGCAAAAAAATGCGAGCCACTGTAATGTTTCAGTTTTCTGCAAAACAGTATGCAAACACTGTACTACTGCAACATAGAAAACGATAAGTAGAGTTGTGCTTGAACACAGATTCTAATCTTTTAATTCATATCTAAACACCCTGGCCAAATACTACTCTCAGCTAGACCAGATTGCAAAAGTATAACACAAATCAGCTTATATCTTAAACTATTTAATCAGTTTAATTAACACCTCTACCACAATCTAAACCGTGGCTTCAAGCACGTCCAAACGTGGTGCCTCAAAACACAGCTTCAAAGCTACCACAAGTTCGGCAAGTTCACCTTGTGATACATGAGAGAATAGATTTTAACCGAAAGTAGGATTCAAAAAAGGATTTAGATTGGGGTTGCTTACTAGAGACAGCTTTTTCTTTCACTTACAGCAATGTAAATCCAGAAGGGTTCCACTTTATTACAAATTAAAGCAATCTCACGCAATAGTACTAATTCAAAATATGTGATTGCTTCATCTCTGATAGGAAACCTTTTAACATTCATGCTTTATTTCCGTAGCAAACTCTTCTCAAGTTAGAACTTGTTTGAAAATTTTCAGACTTTACAACAGATAAAGAGTAATTGGCTGGATTAAGTTTATAGCTTTCCTTATCTAGTCAGCTTCCCTGCACAATTAAATAAATATACATTTGGATTATACTCTTTCTTGATGTGGGAAAGCGTTAGCTAATGCCTACGATAGGCTTTTAGCTACAGTGCAGACTTACGTAATTACAATGGAGAATATAATGTCCGGTTACCAAGTTGTTGTCTATGTTTACCAGTGTTTTCCCTG